CCGCACACATACATACATGCGTACACACAAACATACGTACATACATACATATTGAGGAATGGTAAAGAAATTAGCAGTTGGATCGCGAACCTTTCGTCGGGTATATGGTGTATTAATGAAGCACGATTGAAACGGGCTTTATTCTGCACCAGGCAATGGATATTGTTTCGAGTTCAACCTGGGTCACGTTTCACACCACCATTAGGATCACAGCTCTAGAGCGACATGAAAAAACGTCAATCGTTCGGTTTTTTCATGTAATGAACCACTATGGCTGTCAGTAATTGGGGTTTGCTTCATCGATCCTGAATTTTTTCTAACTTTAGGACAGTCTCAAAGAAACATGTCAGTTGCTGTCAATGCCCCTAAAATCAATGTGATCTCTTGTTGTTCAGTTCAATGATCTTTCTTTCAGTCTCAAAACCCAGTTTGCTTATCAATTTCTTTGTTCTTATCAACCGAGTCCTCCAAATTGAATCTCGTAAATACTGCGATTTTATTGTATCTGACAATCCCACCAAAGTGAAAATGTTTACATCTGATCTGAGTCTTTCCGTGCGATTTTACACCTCGAGATTCCTTTGTGATATCCACTTGAATTGTTTAGCCGATTTTATCGTGGCCAAGGCTACGGACAATTCATAGACATAACTAAGCAGTCCGATGTCTAATCACTTCCACTGCTCGCATACTGATCTTATCAAATACGTTCACTATATTCCCGTATATGCTTCCCATTGAAGCTTCTTCAATTAAGAATCTCATATGGTCTGTACTGGTAATCAGCTAACGAGTTTTCCTGATACCGAAATGTGAGAATAATGCAACAGAAGTGACGTTTAGTTTATCGAAGAAAGTCAAGGAGATTAAATAATATGTACAAACGAATGCCAATCGCCGTTCGTGTTCATCTCGACGCAAGACTCCTTTATAGCCTTTGACTGGTCCAGAATGTTGGCGTTCGTTCTCCTGAATGTGTAACACGTTGGAATAATCAAGGATGGATGGACCAGCAAAATGTGTCCTCATTTACTGGTTTGGTTTGTTTGCTCAGTCCTGCCTTCAATAAGTTTATTCTAATTTGACACAATGAACTAACGTATTGGAAAACCGCCTGGTTTGCTAATCTCCCCCAGGCCCCAAACCCCCGTGTCCGGTTAGGAAGCGTACACAAGTTACTTGAACTACAGAATTATATACTCGTAATTCCGCGAGATCAATTTACAAACCAAACTTAACATGAGTACAGATCAGAAAAACACTGACTACTCGTGAATTCGACAGGAATGCGAACCACATTCGATCAGACTGAGGTGTAATCCCTGATATCATTTGGAGTGAACTGATTTGAAATAGTTTTATCACAGTGGATTCCGAGGGCAATTGACCATACCCGGTCCCAAAAGAATCGGATATGCTTTCCAACCGTCCTCTCTAGAAATCAGTTGGACCCTCGTAGGTGATCCACGAAAGGGGACGCAAACAGCACGTGTTGTTAAAGTACAGTTTGAATAGGGAATCCAAAAACAGGTTTGCATAAGGTATCCTGGATCGTTTTGCTGCATCTGTACACATGCATACTGCAGTCTGCGTGATCATTAATATATGGTCAGTAAATAACAGAATCATAGGCGGAGAAAGATTGCGGTCAAAATTACTCACCAAACACATTTGTTACCAAGGTAGCGCCAGAGTGATTAGACATTCACGCTGTTTACACAGTTTGGAATGATAATTTTGAGTGGCTAGTGCCTTGACGTATTTCAGAACCTTGGTGTTGTTTGTGTTGTATAGAATTCCGAACGAGTCGCGCAGCATGACACAGTGTTTCACCTTGACCAGGTGTTGTGTGATCGACGAACTGAGTTTCCTACAGGTTATTGTCTTCTGAAGCCAGACCGGGATGGGCTCAGTTACTCGACAACACAGTTGTCTCTCCGTTCTGCCAATGTAGATGGCCGAGAATCTACTCTTGAACTGATAGGTACAATTAGATTTGGCGTGGGGAGACAGCGATTCTTTCGCCGATGGTATTGGCAACCGGGCGGTTGTAAAAACGACGATGGAATCAGCTGCGTAGTAGGTGTGCATAACGGACGATTTTAGGCGCTTGGTAATCAGGCAGCTAGTGGATTGAACCTTAAATTTTGTCGATGTACATGTAAGCTCCCTTTTGAAGTACAGTTACAGATAGAAGGCTGACTGGAAATTTGTAGAACACTGAGGTGTAGTGAGTTCGGTCCTCTGTCAGTCACGTGAACCGGAGGTTTCACCGTGTGTGCAAGTAAACCGAAATTTGGTTGGGTAACTGAGTTCAGGCTCCAATATCTGATTACCACAAAACGGTTGTTAGTTTCTTTTTTCATTACCTATGAAATCCGGTTGACAGCGATCTGACAAACATGAACGCCTGTATTCCGTACATATTTTAGATGGTTAGGTCTCATCCGTGCAGTGCCAATCCATCGACCCAACTGGTGATCGTAAACTTGGGACCTCACAGATGAAACACCAGCATGTTCTACTCACTCGGCCACCGGGCAGCAGAGCATAGATGGGTTCCGCTATTTAACGTATATTCAAAATGAGAAACGGTCTGCCCGGTTGCCGAGTGGGTAGTACGCTTGCGTTCTGCCTGTGAGTTCCCTGGCTTCGCTAACCCCAGTTCGGTCAATAGATTCGCACTGCACGGATGAGACCCAACCAGGTTGAAACGATGGTACAGTAGTGTCTCCTAGCCTTTTAGCTCACGCCTCATGTACACGATGAACTCATCATATAAAATAAAGGGCAGTTTGTACTTCGAACTGCTCTCCTTGTGACCATATGATCCACGGACAAGAGGCAAGCCTTAAGCTAATCACATCGAGTTTTAACTATGCTCAATGAGGCTTTAATTAACTAAATGCGGTAACGTGTAATTGGAACTGTGGAACGTTTGTGTGTGTGTGGGGGGGGGGAAGGAGGACGAAGACTCTGACAACTACTGTCACATGAGACTGTTTTTTCTCATTTACCACAGATTGTGCTTTCACACGATCTCGACACTGGACAAGCACAAGTTTGCTAACTAGGTGGGTACCGGGGTTTAGTTAATCGACCTTCAGACGAATGAGTTTCACCATAAAAACCACCTTCCCCTATTTCAGTATGCCATCTGCTCTTCAATTCACATATGAGTTTCTCTCGAATTGACGTAGTCTTCATACTCGAGGTTAAAACAGATTGCTCACTGGGAATGCACAGTGTAATTTAGAAAGTTTTGAAAAGTCACATATTTAGCGCCGGGTCAGACACCTCATAGATTGGCATCGCTTATCATGGGACTGGCCCGTCATTTTTTACTGAAACAAACAAAAACCGGTTTGAAAACTTTGACTGATTTCCCGTTTGGTACTCGCAATTCGAATCGCATTCCGCTCCTCTCTCTCCACGCACCCCGACTGTAAAAATGCAACTTCTATTCCTGATCACCAGCTGCTGCGTGGAACACGTGAGTAGAAAAGAAATCGATCACCGATGTAATTTTAATTTGTGCAATCTGTCCCCAACAAAATTTGACCAAAAACCAACGTTCTCAATAAATCCAACATAGCAAGCAAATGGCTTTTCAGACCTAATGTTCGCATGTTGCCGAAATGTATGTTAACACGGACAATGCAGTGCGAGTCAATGCAAAATAACCCGCTGAACATAAAAATATCAGTATGTTTGTTTACGTATTGGGTCGTTCACTAGTACGTAGTTATTCATTGAATATGAATTTCGCACTGACAAAAGAGTCAGGACAGTCGTGTTCTACTTACATATTGGTGGTACCGTAGGTTTAAGGAAAATTGGATAGGTACAGCTCCGTGTTGGATCTGTTTCCTCTCACTCTCACTCGTGAAAAACCGCTTCACCTCCTTTGAACTGCACGCCAATTACGACCAACGGGCAAGAAAGCTATCTTTCGTTCCCTTCGTAATCACACACTTGTTTTGATTACGAAATCCACACGCGATCAGTACTGATGACAACGGGGATTCTTGGACCTAGGCAATCCGAACAACAATACCCGTAAACAGGCCAGTGGAGAAGGCGCAAACCTGACCCGCAGATACACTGCTGTGAATGCGTTGAGCAACATATTAACAAAACTAAACTAGAAATGAATGGGTACAAAAACCTATCGATGAGTTTCCTTGTAATCATCCAGTCAGCCTTCGCGTTCATGCTTTCAAATGTTATAAATTCGATCTGACTGTTCACTACTCATTGGTTGTCAGGAAAAGGTAACAGGTGACTATCTAACTGACGCTGTCGTACTGTTGGATTGCGAAAACACTTCGTTACAACAAAATAGCCTATTTGAAGGCTAATCTCTCTGTTTCAATGTGACATAACCGGTTCATTCCGGAAATAAATTGTGCACATCGGAATGTCTATATGTCTCGTCATGTATTGAATCTATCCAACTGAACTGTACCCGTTTCTGTTTGAGAGCGATAAAATTGAGTAAAAAAAGTTGTATATCAGTGAAAATCCGGTGCTGTATGCTAACAATCAATGGCTATTCAATAGTCCACTGAGTTCGTAATGATGGTAACCAATGGCAACCATTAGGTTGAAGTCAAGGAAAAATTCTAAACTCAAACCATTGGAATTAAAGATTTGGTCAAGCAGAGAAACTGGAAACAGTAAGCTTCTATCGATTATTGCCATTGGTATTATTTTTATTATTGCCATTATAATATGGCAGCAAGCTGATAACCGAGATGAACGCAAATAGTCAGTGCTTTCTGATTCAAGTGTGTACCTCATCACTGGTCTTGAATGAGCAAACCAATAATCGTTGCCCTCTTTCCGGTCAAATACGGGTAGTCCTTGTGATGATAAGGCAATGAGTAGGACGATGTTAATGTAACTGATGATGATGATGCTGCTGCTGCTGCTGCTGCTGATGATGATGATGATGATGATGATGATGATGATGATGATGATGATGATGAATGCTGATGATGATGATGATGTTGATGATGATGATGATGATGATGATGATGATGATGATGGATTATGATGATGATGATGATGATGATGATGATGATGATGATGATGATGATGATGATGACGATTATGATGATGATGATGATGATGATGATGATGATGATGATGATGATGATGATGATGATATTCGAATGATGATGATGATGATGATGACGATGATGACGATGATGATGATGATGATGATGATGACAATGATGTTGACGATGATGATGTTTCGAATGATGATGATGATGATAATGCTGATGATGCGGATGATGATGATGATGATGATGATGATGATGATTTGGATGATGATGATTCAGATGATGATCGATTATGATAACTCGGATAACAATGATGATGATGACTCGAGTGTTGATGTTATGGCCCAATCGGAAAGGATTTTACAGAATACTCCATATTGTCCGTTCCTCCTCAGTGCTTTCCCATAGTGAAGTGCTTCGCCCGGTCACCTGAATCTACTCTTGAATGATTTGTCAGTCGAGCACTAGTGTGACGCATTTTGGAACGAACACTGCCAGCCAATGATATATGTTTCCATACTCAGACCATAAAGGGGAACCCCTGGGAACAGAATAAGAACCATTGTTCCAAACGCACGAATGAATCATAATCAACTGTATCTGTTGCACTTACTTAAACCTCTTCTTTAAACCGTTCAACTGGTTCTAATGCAAATGAACATGAATTGATTCTGTAGGGATTAGCAACGGACCC